TCGAACTCACAAACTGCGAGATCATGCCCTGAGCCTAAGTCGGACACTTAACTGACTGAGCCACCCAGGCGCCCCTAGAGGATCCTTTTTTAATACCAGCGGGGGTATTGTGCCCCATTTTGGAGATCACTGCTCTAGAGATCCCTTGGCTAAATTATTTAAAGTGTGCTAGGGGTACCTGGGTGGCTCAGTTGGTTAAACGTCTGACTTTGGCTCAGGTCATGATCTCATGGTTCATGAGTTCGAGCCCTATGTGGGCTCTGCCGTCAGCACAGATCCTCTACCCCTCTCTCTGCCCCTCCCCTGCTCCTCTCTTTCTCTCTCAAAAATAAACATTAAAAAAATTAAAAAAAGTAAAGAGTGCTATAGCCTGAATGTGGCCCCCCTCAAAATTCATACGTTGAATCCTAATTCCTGATGTGGTGGTATTAGGAGATGGGGCATTTTGGAGGCGATAAGGTCATGAGGGTCGAACTCTCATGAATGGTATTAGTGTCTTTATAAAAGAGACCCCAGGGAGCTCCCTCACCTCTTCTGCCATGGGAGGACATAGTGAGAAGATGGCCATCTATGAACTAGGAAGGGAGATCCTCACCGGGTATCCGATCTGCTGGCACCTTGATCTTGGACTTCCCAGCCTCCAGAACTGTGAGAAATAGATTGTTATTTAAGCCACTTAGTCTGTGGGAATTTTGCTGCCCTTGACATGTCTCCCCATAGGTAGAGTGTATTTTCCTCTTCATATCAAGGCCAGGTGACTTCCACTGGCCAAAGGAATCATAGTGGATGTAATGTGTCCCTTATCTGAGTAGAGGATTTGAGTGTTACTGTATGTTTCAACTCATAAGGAGCTGCTCTATGATCCTAGGTTCCAGAATGAGAAAATACTAAGAGAAGAGCCAAGCACAGTTACAGTCAACCTTACGCAGACCATAAGCCTACCCGCGATGTGAGACATAACTGTCATTGTAAGCCATTCAGGTTTTGGGATTATTTGTGATATAGTATAATCCAGTTATCATGTGATTTACCCCAGGGAAACAGAGATACCTTTGGGAACTTTATTTATTTATTTATTTATTTATTTATTTATTTATTTACCTTTACAAACTTACGTTGTTGAGGCTCTGATCATCAGTGATTATTCTCGGGAGGAGGGTGTAGGCACGCACACAGGCAAGTGTGCAAGTACTTGTTGAGTCTAGTAATTTGCTAGAAAATTTGCAAGAATTAGCTCTTCCCCTCTCTTACCTCTTTTCAAAACCCTTTCCTTTTCCTTACGAAACAATTCAGTCCTAAATGAAACATTAGGTAGAACAGAACAAGGTAGGTGTCTGTTGTAGGGTGGGGTGGAGAGCAACAGTAGTCTGGTGCAGGTTGTCAGAGCTCAGGCAGCGTGAGAAGGGTGACTTTGCAGGGCGGTTGGCTTGATGGTGGTGTTGGAGCCTGAAAGAGTGAGGAGAACATCCCTGCAGGGGTTGGAAAGTGTTTCGGGCATCAGACCCTTTGCATCCTGAGGAGAGTGTCCACATGTGGCAACGGCCTGGTGTAGGGTGTCAGAAGCAGCCTGGTCTGGAGTGCCAGGGCCTGAAAGGTGAAGAAGACATCTATGTGGTGGGGAGGCCAGGTGCAGGGAGCTCAAGCAGGATGGTCCTTGCTGGGAGGTGGGGGACCCGGCACGGGTCAGGAAAGTGGCAGACCCGGTGTGGGTTTCAGAAGCCAAACGGGATGAGGAAGCCGTCCACATGGTAGCGTAGCCCCGCGTGGGGACTCAGAGCCCAGGGAGGGCGAGGAGAGCTTCCACACGTCAGGGTGATCTCGTGTCGGGTTTTAGAACCTGAGTAGGGTAAGGATGCGTTCCAGGTGGGTGTTAGGGAGCCGGCATCAGAAGTCAGAGTCTAAGCAGAGTGAGGAGGGATTTCCTATGGAGGATGGCCCGGCGTGGGGTCAGACCTGAGCAAGTTGAGGATGAGGTCCATGGGGGTTGGCTGGCTCTGTGCAAGAACACCCAAGCGGGTTAAAGGCCCCAGTAGTAATGTTGGCCTGGATTGGCAAGTCAGAGCCCCGTCAGGAAGAGAAGAGCATCTTAGAGGAGGGAATGGCAAAGATAGAAAATTGACTAAACGTGTTTATTACTCAAATAACTAAAATAAATAAGTAAGTAAGTAAAAGACAATGGAAGCCGGTTTCTTACTGTAACAGAAGGGAGTTAGAAATATGGAAGGGAGAAAACTAGAATGAACTCCTTAGCGTTGGATTGGAATTAGAGGTTATTAGTGTGAATGCACGGTTTTCAATGTACCTTGATATGGAAAGATAGAAGTAAGTGTGTGTGTGTGTGTGTGTGTGTGTGTGTGTGTGTGTGTGTTATGCAGGAGATGGAGGAGTTTGGTGCAGGAGATTAAAAGGAGGATCCTTTGGGGAGAGCTGAATCTAGGGAGTGAGCTTTCAAGAGCACATCTCGGAAGATTCTACCTGAAGGATTCAGTTTTTGGAATGCTTTCCTCTTGTCCTTTGGAAAAAGTCACATTTGTCACTGACTTTATCTCCTAATTTGTGACTCTATTAAATTATCTTAACTTGTTAAAAAACAGTCACATTGGTCTGTAGAGTCTTTTTGTTGTGGTGGTGTAAGGGATTAAAGGGATTGAGAAGGGTGGTGTGCAGGCTGGCCTATTCCACTAACATCCAGCAAAGAGAGCTGCTTTCAGGAGCTTCTGGAAGCGACTATAGCAAAATGAATGGAGATCCATGAAGGAGTCAGTTAAGAACAGGGAAAAGCAGAGAGCACTGGGGAGCAGCTTCAGAACATGTATGATGTAAGCTTTGACTTCCCTCCTACATACACTCTTGAAAGTGGGGAGGCTGACATGTGAGTTTTTTGTCAATGATCCTCTTAGAATGTGGTCACCAAAAGTTGCCTGATCAGCCACACATGATGAGAATACAGCATGAATGAATCTATGCACAGATTGGTCTATAAATAATTATGTTTGCATACAGATGTACACAAATACATGAAGTTCATTCTTGGCTGGTGAGCTCAGATAATACAGGTCTCAGGAAAGCGTTCTCTAACTGCTTAGTTTCTCTGTGTCTTTCCTTCCTATACATATTTTTAAATCTACGCTTTGAGTTCCTACTTTCCATTTCCTTATTACATTTATAAATTTATGAGAAGTTCCTTATTACATTTGCTGACGTATGTTCAAATGCTATGATTCTCATCGTGCTGATCCTGGAGATTTGGCCTCTGAGGTTTCTAATTTTCATGAGATTCCTCTCAGAGTTATTTGCCTATATGGGGCCCCTGTTCTTGATAGGAAGTATGACAAATTGCCACCATGTTTGGGTTTTATTTTAAGATGTTTTAAGGAAGAGATGTAAAGGATTTTTTGAAGAGCAGATTTCTTCTCGATATGACTTCAGAGACCACTTATGCTGAATTGAGTTTCAAAAGTGAATTGAAGTCCTCAGGCACCAAAGAAAGGCCTCCTGCAGGTAAGCACATTTTCTGGTGGTCAGAGTTAGTGATGAGAAGAAGGATGAAGAGAGAATATTGTAAATGAAGCATGATAGTGTTAGTTGCTGGTTCTCTGGCCACAGGTGGGGCACCTAGGATTCTCAGAAGATTGAGTTATCTGAAGATAAGCATTAAGGGGTTGTGTAGTTATACGCTAACCAAACTGAGGTGTGACAAGTCCACTAAGGTCCTGAGCTAAGGAGAATGCTAATTATGCTGAGGTTATTCTCCTGTGCCTTCTGAGGCTGAGTGAGACTGCAATCAAGAGATTGGGTAGAGGAGCGCCTGGGTGGCTCAAGTCACTTGAGCGTCCGATTCTTCCTTTCAGCTCAGGTTATGATCCCAGAGTCGTGGGATCGAGCCCCAGGTTGGACTCTGCGCTGAGCATGGAGCCTGCTGAAGATTTTCTTTCTCTCTCCCTTTGCCCCACTTGCATACGCTCTCTCACTCTCTCTAAAAAAAAAAAAAAAAAAAGAGAGGGAGAGAGAGATTGGGTACAGGTCTTGAAACCGTCAGCCCAGATACAGAGGATGTTGTGTGATCCGTGGGACTCAGGCTCGATTAGGGGAGATTTGGGTGGAGGCGTTAGTGGTGTCTTGTTGTACCGTGGGACTAAAGTGTAACCCAAGACCGTTGCAGAAGGCTTGAGAAGTGAAAGTCTTCGTGAATTCAGGAAATCCATTGCATCCTGCCTCCCCAGGATGGATTTAACTGAATTTGGGAGTAGATAAAAGGTAATATGGTTATCATTTATGATATAAGATATATAAACAAAGAGAAAAAAAGCATGTGTATTAAAGCTTTGTAGTGGGAGTCATGAGTTGCATGCTTTAAAACTTCGGGAGATAGGGAGAAGCAGACTGAAACTGTTTTTTCCCCTTAAAAAGCTTTTTTCTTCTTCGATTATTTTATTTTATTTTATTTTATTTTATTTTATTTTAATTTCTTTTTTTCTTATTATTTTTTTATTTTTTTATTTTTTAATATGAATTACATTCAAATTGGTTTTCCATACATGACCCGTATCCCAACAGGTGCCCTCCTCAATGCCGTCACACACCCTCCCTCCCTCCCACCCCCATCAGCCCTCAGTTTATTCTCAGTTTTTTAAGAGTCTCTTGTGGTTTGGCTCCTCCATCTCCTACTTCTTTTTTTTCCTTCCCTCCCCCATGGTCTTCTGTTAATTTTCTCAGGATCCACATAAGGTGCAACCAGTATGGTCATCATAGTCTTTCTCTGTATGGCTTATTTCATAGCATCACACTCCCACATCCGTTGTACAAAGCCATATTCATTCTTATTTACCCGTGAGTATTCCATTGTATATATGACTACAATTTCTTTATCCATTCATCAGTTGATGGACATTTGATCTTCCATAATGTTGGCTATGTTGAGAGTGCTGCTATAAACATTGGGGGTACAAGTCGCTAATATGTTCACTCCTGTATCACTGGTAAATTCTAGTGAATTATATTGCTGGGTCATTCCCCTTAAAATTTTTTGTAAAACTTCCTTATTATATGTTGAAAGGCTCATTAAAGAAAAAATTAAAAACTAGAGGCATACACGAATTTATATTTATTTTACCATCTAGAGATCACTATAATTTACATTTCAGTGTAGATCTTTCCAGATATAAATACTATATCTAACTTTATTTTTTCTAAAGCTGAGATTATGTTATACATTATTGAGGATTTTGTCCCCCTGCTTGTCAATACCTCATAACTTTGGGAAAACTATTCTTTATTTTTTTATGGAGGTATGATTGACATAAAACATTCTGCAATAGTCCCCTCTTATCTGGGGGGATATGGTCCAAGATCCCCAGTGAATGCCTGAATAGTAGATAGTACCAAACCCTATATATTGTGGGTTTTTTTCCTATACATATATATCTATGATAAAAGTTTAATTTATAAATTAGGTACAGTAAGAGATTAACAACAATAACTAATAATAAAACATACCAATTGTATTAATATACCATAATAAAAGTTATGTGAATATGGTCTATCTCAAAATATTGAACTGTATTCACCTTGCTTGTGATGATGTGAGATGATAAAATTCTTATGTGTTGAGATGAAGTTAGGTGAATGACCTAGGCATTGTGACCTAGCCTTAGGCTACTATGTACCTTCTGAGGATACATCAGAAGGAGGATCATCTGCCTTCAGACCACAGTTGGCCACAGGTAACAAATTGTGGAAAGCAAAACTGCGGGGGTGGGGGCGGGGAGGGGGACTACCATGTTAGTTTCAGGTATACGATGTAGTGATTTGATTTTTGTATATATTGGTGAAGTGATCACCACAATCAGTCTAGTTAACATTTATCACCATAGTCACTCCAATTTTTTTCTTGTGATGAGGCCTTTTGAGATTTCATCTCTTAGCAACTTTCAAATATGTAATAATATTTAATAGTTGATAATATTATAATAATCTATAATATTAACTATAGTCGATATGCTGTACATTACATCTCCATGACTTCTTTTTTTTTCTTTCGAGTTTTTATTTAAATTCAAGTTAATTAACATATAGTGTAGTATTGGTTGCAGGAGTAGAATTTAGTGCTTCATTGCTTATATATAATACCCAATACTCATCCCAACAAGTGCCCTCCTTAATGCCCATCACCATTTAGCCCCCCCCGCCCCCCCCACTGCAACAACCACTGCAGCAACCCTCAGTTCTCTATAGTTAAGAGTTTCTTATGGTTTGACACCCTCTCTGTTGTTATCTTACTTTATTTTCCATGACTTCTTTATTTTATAACTGGAAGTTTGCACCTCTTAATCCCCTTCACCCATTCCCCACCACTCCTTACCCCACCTGTGGCAACCGCCAATCTGTTCTCTGTATCTGTGAGTTTCGTTTTGTTTTTTGAATTCCACAGATAAGTGAGATCATATGGTATTTGTTTTCTCTGTCTGACTTATTTCACTTAGCATAATGCCCTGAAGTCCCATCCAAGTTGTCACAAATGACAAGAGTTCCTTCTTTTTTTTTATGGTTGAATAACAATCCATTGTATATAAATATCACACTTGGTATATCCATTCGTGGATGGATGGACGCTTAGGTTGCTTTTCCTAGCTACTGTAAATTATGCTGCAATAAACATAGGGGTGCATATACCTTTTTGATTTAGTTAATTAAATGTCTTTGTTTTCTTTGGGGAAATACCCCGTACTGGAGTTAATAGATCATATGATGTTTCTATTTTTAATTTTTTTAAAGTTTATTTATTTTTTAGAGAGAATGAGTGGGGGAGGGGAAGAGAGAGAAGGAGAGAACCCTAAGTAAGCTCTGCACTGTCAGCACAAAGCCCGATGCAGGGCTTGAACTCACAAACTGTGAGATCATGACCTGATCTGAAATCAGCAGTCGATGCTTACCTGACTGGACCACCCGGGTGCCCCTCTATTTTTAAATTTTTGAGGAACCTCCATACTGTTTTCCACAGTGGCTGCACCAATTTACATCCCAACCAACAGTACACAAGGGTTGCCTTTTCCCCACATCGTCACCAACACTTGTTATTTGTCTTTTTTTTTTTAAGTTTTTATTTAAATTCTAGTTAGTTAATATATAGTGTAATATTGGCTTCAGGTATAGAATTTAGTGATTCATCGCTTATGTATAACACTCTGTGCTCATCACAAGTACCCTCCTTAAACGTTTTTTCTTTTTGATACTAGCCATTGAGAAAAGAATTCTTTTTATTTATTTTTTAATGTTTATCCATTTTTGATAGAGACAGAGTGTGGGGGGCGGGAGGGGCAGAGACCGAGGGAGACACAGAGTCTGAAGAAGGCTCCAAGCTTTGAGCTCTCAGTGCAGAGCCCCACACGGGGCTCGAACACACTAACTGTGAGATCGTGACCAGAGCCAAAGTCAGAAGCTTAATCCACTGAGCCACCCAGGCGCCCTGAGAAAATAATTCTTAACGATGAAAAAGTAACTAGAAAGGTCTGACCTTATTTTTAGAATGTGATGAGGGATGACCATAATAACGATTTATCTGCTATGGCATTATTTATAGTAGTTGAAATTGGAAACAATCTGGAAGATTATTTAAATACATAATGAAATTCTATACAACCACAATAGACAGCGTTAAAGAAAAAATATGGTTGTATGAAAAATGTTCATGGTCTAGTGTACAACAATATAGTAGGTCTGAAGCTAGTGCCTATGGTATGTCAATCATGTGGAAAAATGTGTACTTATGTATATACACTTTGAAAATTACTGGAAGGATAGGGGCGCCTGGGTGGTGCAGTCGGTTAAGCGTCCGACTTCAGCCAGGTCACGATCTTGCGGTCCGTGAGTTCGAGCCCCGCGTCAGGCTCTGGGCTGATGGCTCAGAGCCTGGAGCCTGTTTCTGATTCTGTGTCTCCCTCTCTCTCTGCCCCTCCCCCATTCATGCTCTGTCTCTCTCTGTCCCAAAAATAAATAAACGTTGAAAAAAAAAATTAAAAAAAAAAAAAGAAAATTACTGGAAGGATATATATCAAAACATTAGCAACAGTTCCCCCAGTGGTAAGAGGTTGTGTTTTTACGTAGTTTCCAACGTTTCTACAGTGAACATTTATTTTTTCCTATTTTCCTATTATTTCAGATGTCATATTCTTGGTAATAGTATGTCATCCTAGAAAAGGGAGAAGAGGAAGGGGAGGAGAACGAAAGTAAAAATCAGAATTTGTTACTGATGAAACTCCTTTGATTTCTCGTTCAGCTCCCAAAGAGAAGACCAGCCTGAACAAAAGTAATCCCAGTTTTCCCAAGCTACTTTTTGCCTCATTGCTGGTGCTTCTGCTGCTATTGGCAATCTCATTTTTTATCGCTTTTATCAGTAAGTATCCAACTGAAGCCATATGGAATGTCTGCCTTCCAGGAAGAGATGGCATCCATTAGATACTGACATTTAATAACGGGTCTATCCAGAAATCTGGAAAAGAAGTCTTCTTTGGGAGGGAGAGACACAATTAATGGGAATCTGTTAGAAATTTTGTTACTTATTTGAATTTAGTTACTTCCTTATAAAAATAATGGTATCCACCCTATAAAGAAATTGAATATATGTGTGTGTGTGTCTTGTAGAGGGACATATATTAGGTACCATTTCTACGCTAGACAGTTGTGTAAGTGAGGACAAATCTGTGTTTGCCTATTAGTGTTTATAAGGCCAGGTTTTTTTTGACTGCACAGACATATATTTTGAGGTGGACAAAAGGCGATGGGAAGAGATATTCCAGGAAGAGTTTCCATTGAAATTTCACCTTAATCATGTCTTTCCTGCCCAAGACTATGTAAGATCTAAAGCCAATTTGGCAAATAGGTGGATTTCTTCATATCTCTGGCTTTAAGAACATATCAAAATTTTACTTTAAAAAAAAATTTTTTTTTCAACGTTTTTTATTTATTTTTGGGACAGAGAGAGACAGAGCATGAACGGGGGAGGGGCAGAGAGAGAGGGAGACACAGAATCAGAAACAGGCTCCAGGCTCCGAGCCATCAGCCCAGAGCCTGACGCGGGGCTCGAACTCACGGACCGCGAGATCGTGACCTGGCTGAAGTCGGACGCTTAACCGACTGCGCCACCCAGGCGCCCCAGAACATATCAAAATTTTAAAAGGCATAAGAAGTAGCGAAGCCAGCATGTAGTGGGGCAGGGAGCAAATGGGAGGTAAGGAGGAAAAAAAGAGAAAATTCACTTTCTGGAGGAAGAGGTAAGTTATTTTTAAGTTGTGACATATTTGAGTATATTGGTGTGCTGAAAAAAAAAAAAAAGCCAGTTGAGAGTGGATAGAGTAAAGGAAGAAGGAGGAGGAAAATAAATGCCCATATCTCCTGATCAATGTTGGCTTAAAAAAAAAAAAAATCTCACTTTACAGGTAACCCAGAACTCAGAATTAGCTCAGTCTGCAACGGCCCCCACCCTCTTCCACCACAACAGACCTATGCTGTGTACATCCTCAGACAGAACTGTTTGCTTTCACTCCATTCTCCCACCTTCAGGGCTCACCTTCTGCATTTAGTATTGAAGGGAAATATGGATAAATCCCTTTGCACTCATTATAATGGAACCATCATGTCTCCCTTCAACTACTGATCTTTTGGCTATTCCTGGAGAAATCTATAGTTTCAAAATCAGTGGGATTAGGATTACATTGAATGTGGGGTGATGAGAAATCTTTTCCATTGTCAGGAGCCTTCCACTCAAGCAATTGGACATTTGTAGATTTTGTTCCTATAAAACAGAATGTGAGAAAGTAACAATAGAGAGCAAAGTCACAACACCAGAAAATGAATGGCCTTTTTTTTTTCAGTTTTCTTCCAAAAATATTCTCAGCTTCTTAAAGAAAAAAAGACTGCAAAAGAGCTCCCTCACACGGAATTGGAATGCCTGAAAGAGAATGTGACCATGGAAGGTAAAAATGAATGTGCCTATAATTCAGTGGTTGACTACACTATGTAAGGATACCAAGTTAATATTTCCAGTAAGATTCACAGGCAGATCATAGTAAGAAGTTGAGTCTCATGACCATTTCAAGCTTCAGGTGTACAAAGAAATAAGACTTAAAATTCTTTTTTTTTTTTTAAATTTTTTTTTTAACGTTTTATTTGTTTTTGAGACAGAGAGAGACAGAACATGAACGGGGGAGGGGCAGAGAGAGAGGGAGACACAGAATCGGAAGCAGGCTCCAGGCTCTGAGCCATCACCCCAGAGCCCAACGTGGGGCTCGAACTCACGGACCGTGAGATCGTGACCTGAGCTGAAGTCGGACGCTTAACCGACTGAGCCACCCAGGCTCCCCAAGACTTAAAATTCTTATATGCGTGTCTTTATCTGTACAAAGAAATAGTCTTCATTGTGGAGATGGCTGTTTAAATCCATGGGTAATCTCTTTACGGAATGTTTGTCCAGCCACATCCTTGGAGTTCTTTGCAGAGCACAGTTTCTCACTTTTTACAGTCTGGCTAAGAATTTTGTGGGTCTTCAGATTCTGGTTCCTTTTCACTTCACATTTCCTTCAATTTATTCCTTCCTTTTGCATTTTACGATAAGCAGTAAGGAGAAATCAGGCCACAGCTTTAATACTTGGCTTAGAAATCTCCTCTACTAAATATCCAAGGCTGTCACTTACAGGTTCTACCTTTCACAAAACATTAGAACACAATTCAGCAAGTTCCTTGCTATTTTATAATAAGAATTGCCTTTCTTCCTGTTTCCAATAACGTGTTTCTCATTTCTGAGACCTTACCAGAAGCATCTTTAATGTTCAAATTTCTACCAACATTCTGTTCATTATTGTGTATGTATATTCTTTAAGACGATAGGACGTTTCTCTACAGCTTTCTTCTACTGAGTCCTCACCAGAATTATCTTTAATATCTATATTTCTACCAGCAGCCCTTTCGTTTCTTTTTTTTTAATTTTTTTTTACATTTATTTATTTGAGAGACAGAGAGAGACAGTGTGAACAGGGGAGGGGCAGAGAGAGAGGGAGACACAGAATCTGAAGCAGGCTCCAGGCTCTGAGCTGTCAGCACAGAGCCCATGTGGGGCTCGAACCCATGAACCATGAGATCATGACCTGAGCTGAAGTCAGATGCTTAACCAACTGAGCCACCCAGGTGCCCCCCTTTCTTTTCTTTAAAAAAAATTTTTTTATATTTATTTTTGAGAGAGAGAGAGAGAGAGAGAGAGAGCTTGTGAGTGGAGAAGGGGCAGAGAGAGAGGGAGACACAGAATCTGAAGCAGGCTCCAGGCTCCAAGCTGTTAGCACAGAGCCCGATGTGGGGCTTGAACTCATGAACCTGAGCCGAACCTGAGATCATGACCTCAGCCGAAGTCAGAGGCTTAACTGATTGAGCCACCCAGGGGCCCCTACCAGCAGCCCTTTCAAGGCAATCTAGGCTTTTTCTAGCATGTACCTCAAAATTCTTCCAGCCTCTACCCATCACCCAGTTCTAAAGCCATTTCACGTTTTTAGGTGTTTGTTACAATAGCACCCCACTTTGGAGCCAAAATCTGTATTAGCCTGCTTGAGTGTCATAACGAAAGAAAGGCAAGGCCTTTCTTCTTGGCTTGTAGACAGCTACCTTCTTGCTGTGTCCTTGCATAACCAATTCTCTGTGTGAATGGGGAGGGAGAGAGAGTTTTCTAGTGTCTCTTCCTCTTAGAAGGACACAAGTCCTATTGGATTAAGGCCCTGCTTTTATGATTCATTTAACCTTTATTACCTCCTTAAAGTCTACCACTGTAGTCACATTGAGGGTTATAACTTCAGCACATGACTGTTGGGGGAACACAATTCAGTGCAAAACAAGTTTCTATGTAGTTTACTAGAAATTCTTGTGCATTTGATATTTGTTCTACCCTGTTTATTAATTTATTCAGTCATCTATTTATATCTGTTTATACTCATGGATATTTATCTTACACTTTGCGTTATAATCCAATACTGTATTTATTTTGTTGCTCAAATTGTTCTGCCTTTGCCCCTGGGAGTCTTTCAGTTGGCTCCCATGGCCCTTTGACATGCCCCCATCACTTTGTTGTTTTACTTGGTTTTTGAGCACTTCCTTACTTTTTGGGATTGTAATATTCTCTGGGCTTATATTGTATATTTCTTGCCTTAGTCTTAGAATCAGCTATTTCTCTGTGGAGTCCTGGCTCCTGTTATTGAAGAATGGTATTAGAAACCAAGATTTGAATACTAGGTATGCTCACTGCTGCTGAGGTGTTCTTCTAGCCCTCCCAGTTCACAGGACAAGGAAATCTCTATGTGTGTACTAACCTGTGCGTGTACATATATTGACAAATGTTTCTATAGGCAACTATGTATATCTATAATAAGGTATACATCAGTTTTTACTGATGTCTGAAATGTTTCTCCATTAACACATTGCATCATTCTAGCCTACTTCCCTTGATATCTTTAGTGACTACTCCAACAGAGAGAAATCTGGTCCCGTTAACTTGCTCAGTACGTTTCCTTAATTATTCAATTCCAATGAACACATATAGCAGTATCGGAACTGTAAACTCATACCATCATGGGAAACAACTTTATCAACTAGAATACATTGCTGGTGTGTGGTGTCTTTTGTCTTTATTCTTGTAGACTCCATTTCCAAAGTCTCTTAGGTCATCATCCTCTTCCCACCCCCTTCAGTGTGTTGTGTCTGACATTTGTAATACAGTTAGATTCTCTTGTCACAGTCTTCATTCTTTCATGGATTCTCTGACTTCCTAAATGGATTTTTAAAGCTTTATACAACAAATATGTAAAGTTCTGTGGATTTTGACAAATGCATAATGTTCTGTATCTATTATTAAACAGTATCATACAGAATAACTTCACCGCCCAAAAAGTCCCCTGTGCTCCATTCTCCTTTCCAAACTTTTGGTAACCACTGACATTTTTACTGCCTACTTTGTCTTTTCCTATCATTGGAATTACAGTTGGTAGGTAGTCTTTTCACTGGAATTACAGTTGGTAGTTGTTTTTACTTAGCTTATTTTATTTTATTATTTTATCATTTAAATATTTTTCTTGAAGTATAATTAACATACACTGTTATATTAGTTTCAGGTGTATAACATATTGATTCGACAATTCTATATATTGATGCTCACCTTGATAAGTATAGTCACCATCTGTCACCGTACAATGTTATTACAATGTTATTGGCTGTATTCCCTATGCTGTGCTTTTCATCTCCAGGACTTATTTATTTTATAATTGGAAGTTTCATCCGTTCTTCCGGTAACCTCCATCTGGCTACCACCAGTTTGTTCTCTGCATTTAAGAGTCCGTTTATTTTTTGGTTTTGGTTGGTTGGTTGTTCATTTGTTTTGTTTTTTAGGTTCTACAAAGTGAAATTTTATGGTATTTGTCTTTTTCTGTCTGCCTTGTTTCACATAGTGTAATACTCTCTAGGTTCATCTGTAACAAACAGTAGGATTTCTCTCTTTCTCATGACTGAATAATATTACATTGTATATAAATATCGCAGCTTCTTTATCCACTCATCTATCAATGGACACTAAGGTTGCTTCTGTTTCTTGGCTACTGTAAAAAATACTGCAATAAACATAGAGGTACATATATCTTTTCGATTTTGTGTTTTGGTTTTTTGGGGGGGTATATAGTAGTGGAATTATTGGATTATGTGATTATTTTTAATTTTTTGAGGAGCCTCCATACTGTTTTCCACAGTGGCTATACCAACTTACATTCCTACCAACTATGCATGAGGATTCTGTTGTTTCCACCTCCTAGCCAACACTTGTTTGATTCCACGTCTCTGATTCTAGCCATTCTGACTGGTGTGAGGTAATATTTGATTGTGGTTTTGATTTGCATTTCCCTGATAATTAATGGTATTGAACATCTTTTCATGTGTCTCTTGGTCATCTGTATGTCTTCTTTGGAAAAACATTCAGGTCCTCTGCCCATTTTTTTTTTTTTTTAATTTTTTTAATGTTTATTTTTTTTATTTTTGAGACAGAGAGAGACAGAGCATGAACGGGGGAGGGGCAGAGAGAGAGGGAGACACAGAATCAGAAGCAGGCTCCAAGCTCCGAGCCATCAGCCCAGAGCCCGATGTGGGGCTCGAACTCACGGACCGCGAGATCGTGACCTGAGCTGAAGTCGGATGCTTAACCGACTGAGCCACCCAGGCGCCCCCCTCTGCCCATTTTTAATAGGATTATTTGGTTTCTTGGGTGTTGAGTTGTTTAAGTTCTTTATATATTTTGGATGTCAATCCCTTATTGGATATATCATTTGCAAATATCTTCTCCCATTCACTAGGTTGCCTTTTTTTTTTTTAATGGTTTCCTTTTCTGTGAAAAGCTTCTTATTTCAATATAGTCCCAATAGTTCATTTTTGCTTTTGTTTTCATTCTCCGAGGAGGTATATCATAAATATGTTGCTAAAGCCGATGTCTAAGAGATTACTGCTTATGTTTTCTTTTAGGAGTTTTATGGTTTTAAGTCTCAGATTTAGGTCTTTATCCATTTTGACTTTATTTTTGTGTATGGTGAGAAAGTGGTCTAGTTTCATTCTTTTGCATGTAGCTGTCCGGTATTCCCCACACCATTTATTGAAAAGACTGTCTTTTTTCCCTTTTATATTCTTGCCTCCTTTGTCATAGATTAATCGACCATGTAACTTTGGGTTTATTTCTGGGCTTTCTATACTGTTCCCTTGACTGATGGGTCTGTTTTTGTGCCAGTACCATACTGTTTTTATTACAAAAGGTTTGTAGTATATCTGGAAATCTGAAATTGTGATACCTCCAGCTTTGTTCTTTCAAAGCATTGGTTTGGTTATTCCAAGTCTTTGTGGCTCCATACAAATCTTAGGATTATTTGTTACAGTTTTGTGAAAAATGCTGTTGTTATTTTGATAGGAA